TTAATGTTGTCTTTTATCTTGCTTCTGTTCAGATCGTTGCGTCAAGAGATAATCCTTGCATAGCATGACGGTTTTCCTTTCCCTCTTCAGAGGTTAGCCTGCTCAAGCCAAGCTGTGAGTCAGAGTGAAATAATACCATGAGATTTTGCTGTTTGGAAAGTGTCTTCCCTCTCTTGAACGGTGGGTTCTGTTTCCCGAGCCCAGCGGGCCTGGGAGCCCCTGCCTTAGCTAGAGGCTGTCCAGGTGCCACTGGCCTAGGAGTTGGTTTCTGTAAAGCAAAACAGTGTTTGTTATAGCCGGTGTTCGTGACTCCGGTGCTGCTGTCAGACAAGTCATGACTACAGAGAGACCATAGGCCACAAGGGCGCTGGCTCTGTGAGATCGTACTGGCAAAACGGGAGGATGCGGTGTGCTGTGGTTCGGCCGCAGCGAGCGGGGGAAGTAGCATAAAAAAAAAAAAAAGAGTGGAAAAGCTTGGCTTTCATTTGGTGTCGAGTTTATCTTCCGCTGTCAGACTCTCAGCTTTATTTTATGCTTCTGTTGTGTTGGTACAATTGATGAGTCCTAGCCCTGTTTACAGAGATCCAGCAATTATCTTCGCTTGGCAGCTGCTCCGGGTGCTGTTGGAGAGGCAGTGTTCAGTCGCACATGGTAGATATCTTCCGAGAGGTACAAAACAGGAACCTTTGCCATCGGAGGGAGGCCAGCAAACAGGCGATGGTACGCTGCTCTTCAGGAGAGTAACAAAACCAGTTTTGAGGACTTTGAGTCCGTACGGCTCCTCTCCTGTGGGCAGTAGGAGCCTCGTCAGCCATGCGGTGCTCAGCACATGGGCATAATAATGGAACTATGTTCATCTCCCAGGTGTTCCTCCTGCATCCCCAGTCTTCCCAGACAGGAGGGTTTGTGTGAGGTGGAAGCCATTCTTCGCTGGTTTTACCCCAGTGTCTATTACAACACTGGTCCCACACAGATTGGTGAGAACACTGCATTGCTGAGAGAGTTTTGGAGTGTTGTGTAATTAAACTTCAACTTTTTTTCCTTCCTAAACATCTTTCTAAACCTGGTGGCAGGCTAGGTGCTGGGGTATTGTGCAGAGGAGGGTTTCTCTAAGGAAATTTCCTCTCGCAGACTTTTTAAGCTGTGGTAGGAGGATGACTAACTGTGGGTACACCCAGACATTTCCCTTTGGACACACCTAAACATACACTTTCCAAGAAGAGGATCATGCCACCTTCCAGTATGAGTGGAGAGAAAATTTAAAGGGAGACAGGACGGCTGGGTCCTGATGTCCGTAATGCCATCCTTCCTAGTGTCCCAGTGAGGAATTTTAACGCAGCGCTGGCCTGGGATGATTTATGTTGTACTGCTAAATGAAGTTTCTTCATTTCTTTGTCCTCTGTCAGCAGATGTGCGTTATTTGTAGACAGTAGAGGCTGTTGCCTATTTTTACACTCAATTAAATTGTAACCTCATCGCTGGGGCCTCTGCTGCAAGAACTGAGAGTCAGGCAGTGATCCAGACTGATTAATTATCAGCTTACTGTCTTTGGCAGAGGCCTTTTGGTGCTGTTGTGGAGCACGGTCAGGGTACTGCTGCGCTTTGTGATGAGCGGAAAAGTTAGGGGGTTGCCTCTGTGCTGCTCCCTTCGTCGAGCTCGTTTAGTGACAGGATTAGCCTTGGCTGCACGGACTGGCACATGTGAGTAAGAGGTCCGGAGTAAATGATCTGTAGCGCTTCTTGGACATAAGCCTCTGCAGAAATACAACAAACTGTATTGTTATTCTTGTTACTGATGTGGAAATGAGTGGGTTGGGCATTTTGTTTCTTTTCAGAGAGACTGGTAGCCTGCAAAATTTGGCTTGCAGTGTTTTTTCCTTGTTTTGCTAATGAACAAATCATAAATACTGTGGAAAGATAGAAATGGAAAAGAAATAGTTTCTGCTGCTGAATCAGCTTGAGGGAAGTCTATCAGCCCGTTGGAGAAACCAGAAGTCTCTTTAGGCAGTTGTATCCGTTGTAACCACAGTAAGCTCCGGCTGAAGGCTTTTTCCAAACAAGAGCTTGTTTCCGGGGCCGTTCCTGAAATAAATGTTTAGTTTTGGTGGCAAAATTCCTACAGATCTCTTTCTGGTGAGTGGGTCTTGAAATACTGAAGTTGCAAATGTGGAAGTTGTGTCATCCCCGCTACAGGCGTCTGCGATCTGAAAATACACTTGCTAAACATTGTGCTGCGGTGGGCGTGCGTGCAGCCGGCTGGAGAGCGCTTCCTAGTAAGGCCTGGGTGTTCAGAGGGTGCTGTTGCCCGTGGGTGGTTGGGGGGGCCGCCTACTTCTCTCCTAGAAGCCTTTCAGGCATTGCCCTCTTATCTCTTCACCCCGTGTTGGCGGGATAAAACCACCAACCACCAAGGTCACTTTGTTGCTGGGGAAGTCGAGCAGAGCATCTTCCTTGCCTGTGTAGGTCCTTATTTAACCCTAGTCACTGTACCCGCTGGCTGCCAAAAATCAATGGCTTGCTTGATGATGTTTGTTTGCAGAGTCTTTAAATAACATACAGTGGAAAAACAACCAAACTGTACAGTGTACATTAGCTGTGGGCTGGTAACTTATTACAAATATCTTTTGGACTCAGCCTGTGCAAGCTAAACCTCCTTTTCATTTTCTGTATAAGTAATAATATATTAAGCTTCCCCAAGCCCTGCTGGCACTATACATATTAAAGTGTAGAGTTACTGCACTGCAGTGATCACAGAATGTTTAAACAACAAGTGTCTATGAAAAATCTTGCTGTGGCAGTGATGAACTCAGTGTGGGCCACAAAAACCACTTCAGAGACTTCCTCCATGGCCAGCAGTTGCCCTGTAGCGAGCTCTCTGGCCTGCAGCCCCGCAGTCGTTCCCTGACCGGCTGCACCGCGCTTCTGGTGTGTCCTCGTGCCTTCTGGTGTGTCCATGGCTGGAGTCAAAGGCCCGGGTGTCTTTCATAAACCTTGACTTTCCGCTGTTCCTGCGAAGGACAGCAGGAGCTGGTGGGCTTTGAACGTTTCTGAAAATTTTTCCCCAGCACTTTGTCACGTGCAAAGTTTGTGACGATGCCTGGGGTTTTCTTCTTGCACTGCTTCCCTGGGCTAGTGCTTCTAACCACAGACTGGTTTCCCCCTTCATCTGAAGCGTGTGTGAAAGTGGATGACTTAACGTGTGCTGCTTTTAAACGCAGAGATTGGAAAACAAGGTCTGTTTAAAGCAGTACTTGTCACGCAAGGAAATGCAACCAACACCGCCTTCAAGTATTACAGAAAATTGCTTTTTGGACAAACAGGGGGACCTTCAAAAAGCTCAGCTGGGCTTGGCAGTGAGAACAGCTGTAAGAGCTGGGGATGGCCAGCCCGGGGGTCTGGTGAACGCTGGAACCAGGGAAGCCACCGAGGCTGCTGGGCTGCCCAGTGCCTCGTGCCCCTCCAGGGACAGCGGCCCGTGCTGCGTGCAGCTGTGGCTCAAGTCTCTCAAATTGCAGGTCGTTCAGCTTCCTCCCCTCTCCCCCTCTTCCTCCAACCAGCCTTCAAGCAAGCATCTGGAAACTCAGATTTCACGTGGCGAGGTTAAAAGAGGACTGCGAGAGAAATGACGGGAGGTGCTGAGGACTCGAGGCGTTGACAAAGGCAGTCAATTTGGTACAGGCTTGGCAGGAGGTAGAGTCCTGTGGGCAGACCAAGATGAAAGGGGCTGAGAGCAGACAGTGGAGACTGTTTGGAAACTAAAAGGCTGGTAGGGTGGATGCTGGGGCTTTTTGAAACTGTAGTCGGGCTCGGAAGAGGAATCGGGCAGGCAGGTGTCTAGACAGCCTGTAAGTAAAGGCATGCTTCCCTGGAGCTGTGGAAATGGAGGGAAGTCTCTTGCTCTGCCGCTGCTTTCAGAGCTTCCCCACTCACCCAGGTCATTGCTGCCTGCCCTTGACCAGGACTGGGCCTTGAGTTTAGCAGTGACTTCTAGCGTACAGGCTTTTATGTCGTAGGTCTGCTGCTGTCTGATTGCTTTTTCAACAAGAGGATTTAGAGTCGTTCGCCCTTCTGAGTCTACCCAGGGCTGAAACATCTGGCTGTTTTCATGTTTGTTCTCTGCTAGTGGTTTGGCAACTCTGCTAAACAAGTGCCAGGCAGCCACTGGTGTCAGCACAGCCACCAAAGTTCCTAATGCGACTCCGTGGTGCTGCACGTTTGTGGGGCGCTGCTCTGCAGTATCCCGTGCTGGCACCATGGATATATCGCCTCGTAGATGCTTCCTGAGGCCAGGGAGCCAGTGGAGAAGATCAGCCAAGGCTGGAGGTAAACTCTTAAGACTAAGAGGCATCACACCTGTAGCAAACTTAGGAAGATGAGCATTTGGCCTGGACTTTGCTGGTGTTGGACCCCCATGGTAATCCAGAAAGCTTTAGCCACCCATTAATAGCACTCTGTTAATGCACGCGTAGAAATTGGTTGGCTGATGTTGCATTTTTGACCTGAGATCCTCTTTGCCCTCAAATCAGAGGTGAATCTCTTAGACACTTTGCAGCCGTGGGGTTGAATTGCACATCCCAAAGTTGTGTTGCTCTTATCTCTCAGTTCAGACTAGCTCTGTTCATGTGGGCATAGCTGCTATAAAGGGCCAAGTTAAATGTGGAAATGATTAAGGCCCTAAGATGGCAGTGTGCCAGCATCTGCGTTGCGTGCCGCTGTTAATCCCAAGAGCCTGAAAGGAACATGAAGACCCGAGCCACAATACAGGAGATCTGCTTGGTTAAACAGATGCACACTTGGAAAGGAATAACATGCTTAAATACCTGGCGCTTTCAAAGTAAGCAGTCTTCCAGGAATTAACCTGTAGTGAAGATTTTACTCTTTCTTCAGTCTGAATCATAACAGAGCACAGTTTACCCGTTTAAAAGGAAATGCAGCAGTTGTAAAGTGTGTGAAATATTTCAATGCATAAATCTTTTGTTTTCCCTTTTCTGTTTCCCCAGGAACTGGCAAACTCTGTCTACTTGGTTATGGAGGTGAGTGCGTGTGTCTGTCTTTTTTTTTTTCTTCCTTTTTTTCCTCTTTCCTGTCCTTTTTATCTTTTTCCTTTTTTTTTTTGTTTTTCTTAAACTTGTTTTAAGCAGACCAGCTTGTTACACAAGTAGTGCTTTCTGCTCGCAGTCTCCTGTGATGCTTTTGCTAATCTGATCTGTAGCTGCATGCCTTTGAGAACTGGAGCAGTGTGGGTGCAGACAGCGGCCAGGGGGATTTTTTGTACTGCTGCTGTCAGAAGGTTGTGCTGGCACAGGTTTAATCAGTCGGACGTCTTGAGATATCGCAAGGGTCAAATGGGTGTTACTGGGTAGTATCTGCTTCAAAGATACACGGAAAGAGAATTTTGTCAACGCAGCCTACCTGCAAAGCTTGTGAATGCTTTCCTTCCTCCGCAGTCTTCACCGCGAGGTCTTGTTGACTTTCCTTAATGATACGGAACACGATGTGGGGAACTTCAGTTTTCAGCTGTGGCTGCTCCCAGGCTTTCCTCAACCAGCTCTCTGGTGGCGTCTCCAGTGGTGGCCCTTCTGCTTTGTTCTGGTTTTATCTTTCTCTCTGATGTGCACGCACAGGGATGTGCACGTGCACAAAAGCTAGTTAATGCTGGTCTATCATAATGCAAAATAAAGTTTAGGGGAAATGGGACAGAAGAGGAACCTACAGGAATGGGGTTTTCCCTGCCAACTTCTGAATACATATTTTGACACGTGTGTTTGTTTATGTTTAAATACTATGATAAGCCTGCCATCCTGGTGAAGTCTACTGTTTTTAATCTTGGACTTGCCTTGCATTAACTAAGCTTTCTGTTCTGTTTGCAGTACTGTAATGGTGGTGACCTGGCAGACTATCTTCACAGTAAGTAGAACAATATGGAGAATATCCTCTGTATTCAGAAGAAAACACTGACTGGTTTAGCTCATTAAAGTTGCTGGGGTTTGTGGAAGATCTAAGTAAGCAGATTGTATATCTTTTTTTAATTCCTGCAAAATAAACAGAGTATCACTGCTCTTCTTCTAAGAGGTTTCTTCTAAGAGGTTCACCCTTGATAATAATTTGAAAACTGCGAATCCGTGACAATAAAAGCTAGTCTTGTAGTCTTTCCTATGTAGGTCAGTGGTGACTGTTTTCAGTAGTTATGTATTTTAGTTACAATGGCCTTATAGATTAAACATACTTTAACACTGCTAGGGACACGGTTTGTCTTTGTCTTGGTCAGTACAAAAAAGCTATTTATACTGAAGCTTTGCAGTTCTGTAGGGTTGGATTAAAATAAGATCCCAAGAGTATATTTCACTTTCTTTTAAGTTTACCCCTAAGGGTAACCCCTAACACATCTAGGACAGAACGCATTTCCTACTTCAGCGTATTGAGGGTGACTAGCGTCACCAGTAGTGTTGTGAGGGTGATGAAAACTATGAACTTGAGGGTCTCTTGGAGAATATAGCACAGGTATCTGTGACTGTGGTGCCTTGAAGAACCTTTTGGTGAGACTGAAGTGTGTCTTTGCCATCAGATGGAAAGAAACATGCTTTGCGCGTTACCCAGCTGTATGCTGGGACTCGGGCTTCAATCTCCCAAGGTAATTTTCAGTGCAGCCCACTGCGCAGGTACAGGATCCTGACCTGTGTGAAAACCACATTGCACCTGAGTGCCGAAGCGGTAGGAGGATAACATGCTGAACAAGTTGCTTAGCTGCAGTCAGACACAGCCCTTATTTTCTGTTGGCCTGACTGTATTTTTTTTTTTTCCTTTAAAGTAGCTTTCTTGTTGTTTTGCATGTTAACTAGAAGATTACTAAATGTGAAGAGACAACTTTAATCTCATTTCTGGTGTGGCTCTAGGTCATGGTTAAACAAAATTTTTTTATATTGTTCAAATTAAAAGCTAGTCAGCTGGATAATACTTCAGGCTCCTTATTTGAGATAAATTATGCCTGGAAATGGCAAAAATTGAAGGATTAAAAGCTAAATTTACATTTGCCCTACAGCTAGTGTTGGTATCCCTAGAATGATTATTTGGGGCTTGATGCTAGTATGTTGCACTCTGTTCATACAGGGTAATGAATTGTGTTTGTGGACTTTAATTTTCAGAAAGGATTTAGTACTTGAAGGAAAATGAAGGAATAGCCTGCCTTTCATGTGTTTTGTTTGTTTAAAATGTGGGTGAGATAGAAGTGACAGGCATTCGTTTTTTAAAATCCAGGTTTAGTATGCTTTGTCTTAGATAAGTGATGGTGTTTTGCCTCTGTTCGGTATTGCCGTGCTTTAGAAGGAGCATCTTTGGTGGTGGTGAAATGCTGTTGTGAATACCAAGTGAAAATGGTTTTGTATTTGATACCCTCTTTTTCTCCTTGAATACAAGTGCAAATATTAATAATGAAACGCTTTTAAAAAATAGTCAAACTTCAGTTTTACCAGCGTGTGGGCTTTGAAAGCTGAAGTTTTTAGCTTTCATGCACATGAAATGAACCTTGATGTTAAAGCACTGGACTGTGCACTCTTGTTGGCAAAGTTGCACGTGTAAACAATGTGACACAGCTTCTGGCCAAACAATTTATAGAAACATGGGTTTATAGAAAATCTTCCTGTTCATACTGCTGCTTCTATGTGCCCATTGTCATCTTCTCCCTTCAACCACCTCCCACCACCCCACTAAAAAAAAAAAAGTGAAGCATAGTGTGCAATTAGCTAGGCTATTAATACAGCGCACTTCCTTGTGTATCAAATGAGACTACTCAGGAAGTCGGTGGCTAGTTTGAGAAAGTGACGATGAATTGTGTTTTCCAAATAAAATTCAGTTTTACCCCAGTTTGGTTTGTTTGAGTGTTGCCTGGGGTAAGGTTTGATCCTTCTTTGGCTGAGTTAATTTGAGAAAGTTACCTTTAGCTCTGTTTTTACCAATAAAATATTTTACCTTGACAACTGTAAAGAGTAGCTGTTGTGACTGGGAAATTGGTGCTTACTTTTATTTTAACTCTTAACATCTGTGTGGCGGTTGCCAGTAAAGAAAACCCAGCAGGCTCAGATTTCCAGAGGGAGCAGTCAGTAAGGGACTGCCGCAAGAAAGTTAGTTGCTCCCATCGCTGCAGCAGCAGAGATCTGGGTCTTCCAGATCCCAGAGCCTGGATACAAGTGTCAGCTTTTGCATCAGGTGCCTTTTTCTGTTCCACCACATGCTCCTTTGGGGTATCTCCTCTCCCAGCTTCTGCAGGTGCTCAGGGTGCTTTCGATGATAATGATTTTTTTATTTTTTTTTTTTCCCCCCTGAAAGCTCATGTTGGAAAGTTCGGATTTCTTCCAGGGCGTTTCACTGGTGCGCAGGAGGCTCACCTCTATTGAGCAGTTACTGTGCTGCTTCAGTTGTTCTAATAATTGTGTGATGGTATTTAATTGCAACATCTACTTTCCCACTGACTCCTCAGACGTTTTTGCTGGTAGTTCCTGTAACACTTATGCAAGCTGTGCATGCAAATCCCCCGTTTCTCATTGAACAAGATGCTTGTAAGCTTCCCAATCCATTCTGCCCTCTAATTACAAGCATTAGGCAATATGGTAATTCTGTGTTGAATCCAAAGGCACTCTAATTTTCCTTGTCTTCATAACTGGAAGACGTGCGTATGTGCATGTTTCAACGCAGTATGCGTTTCAGCTGGGTTACGCTGTTGGTCAGCCCCATCTCTTCCATACAACCCAAGGTCGTGTGTGTTGTGCTAAGTACAACTTCTGTGTTGTTGTTGTTTAATGGTACAATGCAATTTCCCTTCTGATAGATCTCTGTGGGTGTTGCTTTCATTTAAAGCCCACCATAAGGTATGTCTTGAGCCGAGAGTGGCAGATAGCCGCTGTGCGTGGTAGAGCTGTGGGAAGCGTTACAGAAGTGACCATCCTCTGTACAGGAATAACTGGAATTCTGTGGCGTCGGGTACTCAGGAGGTCAGAGCAGGCTGATCTAAAATGTCTTCTTAAATTCTGTGAATTGGCATTGGCACAGGCTGTTATGGACAGTTCACGAGTGCACATTCATGACCTTCCTTAAAGCCGCTTCTTGGAGAGCACATCTCTGAAGGAAACTTCATGTCAGAGCAGGGCATTTCTTGGTTTGACCACGACACGTGCAAGGAGCTGTGACCTTCTAATTCATCCTAGGTGGTGTGGGGACCCCTTTGTAAACAAGAGGTGAGAGGCACTGCTGTGTAACTTTTCACCCTCTACAGCTAGGTAATTAAGAATATCTGTGATAAGACTAGACCTATCTGGAATAAGTCTGCTGGCTTGTACAGAAGACTTCACAGGAGTCCCAGTGGCCACGCTCTGCACGGGTGGAGCTGGGGGAGTTACAAGACAGGCCCCGAATAAATCAGCTTGGTCTCTCAGACTTCAGCATGATTTGGATTGGGCCCATGTTAAAGAGATACTTGTGGCACCTGTGGGTAAGAGAAGTTCTTTTTCCTAAATAACTTTTCCAAAATGGTGTTGTCATGTAACATCAGCGGGTGTACTCCAATGCATCTACCCTTGGATCAGCTGACAAGGGCTGTTTACTACAGTTTACCTGGCAGCCGCTTGGCAGGTTGAACATCTCAGCACAGGCTGACCAGGGTACGTTTTTAGGTGGTTTCATCCTTTTCCTACGCCTCAAGAGCTACGAGGCACACGGGCCCTGCGCTGACCTGCAGTAAATATTTGCTCTGATCTACTGACCTGTGTAGCCGCCGTTCCCAAGGCAGTAAGCTGAGTGCCTCATCACTGAAGTGGAGCCCATGAAAATAAACACAGGGATATTATTACTTCTCAGTAATGGCAAAGTAAGGCTTGTGAAACAGCGTTCTCTGCAAGAACGTGTTGCTGACCACAGACATCCATGGGGATGCCCAGACTTCAGTGTGGGCTTAGTGTTTTGCCAGCAGTTTTCTGCTGAAGATGAGAATGTCCCCTTTATACAGGGACAGAAGTAAAAGTTCCCTATTGGGATGTAGCAAAGAAAGTGAGTTGTTTCATTCTCCACACTTTTTTTTATTTTTGGTGGCACATGAATTGAATGAATCTTCTGTATCTCCTCCCTTCCCTGTCGATGGTAGCTGGTCTAGAAGATCATTTGTGGACCAATAATCTGAAGTTGCTGAAAGTGTCAGTTGTATTTATGTCTCTGTCCTTCAGTTGGAGATTGCTGCTGTCACTCAGTGGACTGATGGGCCAAGTATGAGAGATAAGGACTCTTGTTTTTCTGTGTTACAGCATGTCTGTTAATGGAGGGAGGTAAGAGGGTGTGCCCCTACGCTCCTCAAGTAACTGACTGTCCCTTCTCTGTTACTGATGGCAGCATCTCCATTTCACAGTCCTACCTTGCTGCACTACCTGGATTTGGGATATTTAATGCTGCCAGAGGATCCAGCAGACCTCTGTCTAATTTTGCTGCACTGCACGGTGGTAGCTCCATTATGCCACAGCAGATGCACCGGGGGAATCTGTCTGCAGGCTCAAGACACCAGCTTAGATTCTGCCCATGTCTGGAAAACAGCACCTCTGCAGGGCTGAGAGCTTCGTACAGACTTCTGTGAAGTGCAAAAGCTTAAATTCTGCAGGAATTAGTAGCTTAGAGGCCCTGTTTTCTGTGGGTGAATGGATTTTTCTGATCTTGGTAGCAGTGTTTTTTTTCAATATAAAGAGTTAAGATTCACATTAAGGAGGCTTAACTGGTTTGCTGAGGGATAGTGGCTAGTGCTGTGTTAGCCTTATAGCCACCAAATTATATAAAGGAGAGGGTAACACCTTAAAGATGTGGTGTGCTGTTGGAACTGCAGGTGAGAACAAGACTCAACAACACCGTTTCTGCGCTAGAGGCAGAGTGTATTTAGCCAGGAGTTGGTAATTGCCTGCCAGCTTAATAATGTTAAGAACTGCCAAGTTTCAAGTCTTGCTTCATGTTTGGGGGAAGATGAGACAGCCTGTCCTTTCCTGGGCCTGAGCTGAATTGGGCAAAAAAACGTGGGCATTCTCCCTATTTTGTTTAAAGGTGGTGTTTTAACCATTCCTAAATAGATTTCCTTGAATAGGAATCGCAGAAATATTGCAGAGACATTTTGTCTCTCTTTGGAGAGAAGGTTGAGCACAGCTAAGATGCTGGACCTTTAATAGACAGAGAATGGTACAGGATTGAGTACACTGATACACTTCAGCAATGTTAAAGGTGAGGCAGCCCTTTTTTCAGAAGATGCAAGTGGGTTTGGTAGGCTTGCATCTGAGCTGCCTTTTAATATCCTTAAAATCCCTTCACAGAAGCTCCCTTTCTTGCAGAGGAGTCTCTTGAATTCCAGCTGAGTGCCAGTTCATGAGCAAAAAGGCCCAGTGAGGGGAGAGAAACTCTATATACATGTGCACTGGTCTCACGTGTATGAGTCCAGGACCAGCTGATAGCCGTAGTGACATTTTAGCTCTGCTTGTGCCTCCTTCTAGAACAGTGAGGTTTGGGATTTTCTATTCTGAGTGCTGTTTAACTTATCTGTGTCCCTTGCTGTTTCCCATGCATGTATTTTAAAAGTTAGATTTTTAATTTCCTGTGTTGTGTTAAAGCTGTGTGCAACCTCGTCTGTGTTTTCATAAGGATTCTTCCCTTCTAGCTGACGAGGTAGAGTAGCATTTTGAAGCTCCTGCCAGCTTGTTTTAATGTCTTTCTAGAGAACAGCTGGGAAAACACTAATGAAGTCCCAAGTAATTTACAGGGACTTTTTACAAAAGAAATTATTTTGTTGAAGTGGAATGGTGCTTGCTTTAAGCCTGACTTGCTCAGTGACTGACAAGGAGGCAGGCTGGGAGCTGTTGATCCTGGGGTTCGTTCAGCAGGCTGCTCCCAGCTTTGGCAAGAGTTTCATACATATAGTTCTTAAAATAACGAGAGCTAATGTCGCGTCGCTCTGATGAGAAGAGCCAGTCGAGCATTATTTTAATCCTTTCAATGGTTATTTTCACACCACAGTTCCTGGGAAGCCCATATCTCAGGAGAGTGCAGTTCAGAGCTTCCATATTTGCAGATTTTGATTACTGATACAGTTTTTTTAAAAAAATTGCCTATGAAAGCATTCTGAGATGTCCTTGCTGCTTCTATGAATGCAAGCTGGAGGGTGTCAGGTGGCAGTTTGCAGGGGCCATTTGGTAGGGATATGTTGTTTAAGTACTGGACCGTGGTTCACCCTCGCACCAGGTTTGGGATTAGGATTATGGTTTCGTCTAGCAGGTGGTGTTGCACAAGTGTTCAGCCTAGACTTGGACTCGTACTTCGAAGTTACAGATCCCTGCTGGCCATGTACCCTAACTGACTATCTGAATTTAACCTGCCAACCCTTCCCAGGCCCAGCATGAGCCTTAATGATTCTTGTAGGCATAAATCCTAATCCTAACTGCCTTTCCTCTTAGCTCCACCTTTAGACATAGTCTTTGTAGTAAAGTTCTGACCTTAGGTATCCAACCGCTATCAACCATAGCTCAAAGGTAGCGACTCTCTCAGTCCTTGGGCCACAGGCCCTGCCTAGTGCTTGCCTGGATCTGGCTGAGGGAAGCCCTACACCCCACCAAATGTCACTTTTGAACTCGGTTGATAACCTAATTCAGCACCTGCCACTGGCCTAAGTTCACCGTAAGAGACTCAGGGCTGAAAACAGCCCTGACCACAGAATAAGCTGGGAATGTAAATGCTCTCCTTTGTTGCCTGTAGGAATCATTCAGAAACGGTTTGTGGAGAAAAAACACCATACGTGGAAATAAAAATGACAAATTATGGCTAATTGCTGTGGAGAATCTGCCCTCTGGGCTCTTCAGAGAGCTGGCATTGTAATTTTTTCATCTGTGGTTATTTTTTTTTTTTCTTTCTTCCTTCCTAGCCATGCGGACACTTAGTGAAGACACCATCAGGATCTTTCTCCAGCAGATAGCAGGTGCCATGAAAATGCTGCACAGCAAAGGCATCATCCATCGGGACCTGAAACCGCAGAATATCCTCCTTTCCTACGCTGGAGGCAGGAAATCAAATCCCAACAACATTCGCATAAAGATCGGTAAGACCCCATTACAAACGTCTCCCTAAGCACTCTCAGGAGAGTTTGGTGACAGATAAACAGCAAGCCTCAATCTTTCTTTGGGGAGCTGTCTAGGAGAAGGAAAGAATTGCTGCACTTTTTAAAATGCCCTAATGGTTTTCATCTTCCTTGCAAGGTCCTCTGCTAGACATAACCTTCAGCTGGCTCCAGGCAGTAGAGCAAGAGCTTTCTGCTCTGCCAGGACACAGACTTAACACAAAAGAATTGGGCAGGCCTTGCTCCACTTCCAGCTGAATGGTGCCTCCCTCAGTAAAAACAAATACCAGCCTGCCTTAATTGGCTTGTAATCTCCAGTTTACCAAGAAATGAGCAGCCGTTGTGACTTTACCTCAATTCTGTTAAAAGCTGAAGACAAATGTTGGTCTCTTAAGGCCTGAAACTAGCTGTTCTCCTGGCTGGCCTCAGAGAGCCCTGTGGGAGTCAGGCACACCTAAAAGCAGGTGTTTCCACGGTCTGAATTAGAGGCAGGCCTTTCAGCTGTGTCTTGAAGAAATTCACTTTTTGCATATTAGGCAAGTGGCACAGATGGACCAGTAGTTGGGAGAAATGCTCCAGAAATCCAGTTATAGAGCACACGTATCCCCTGTGGTCCCTCAGAAATGAGTGCTGGATGATATCACCCTCAGCACGTGGACTTTTGATTATGTTATAGTTCACGAGCTGAAGCTGACACCAACTGGATAAAACTGTTCCTCGCCTGAACCCTGCGCTGTGGAGAAAGTGCTAGTGATTCCATTCAGCTGAGAAATGAGGTCCAGTGGAAAAGTTTGAAGTATTGCTGCCCTTTTGCGTGAAGCATTTTTTGTGAAGTGCAGTTATCTGGAAGATGGAAGTGACTGGGAGCCGCAGATGTAGGCAGAAGGGCTGCAGGCACGGCTGCCCTTGGGTGTGCATGGTCCAGGGAAGAGCTAGCCATACCCATTCATTAGTGACAGATGACAGTGTAAACAGCTGTGTCAATCTCCTAGCTTGAAATATCTGGTAACCTTGAGGGAACCTTTAAGTATCATGATCAGATGCTGAGTAACCTGCAGAGGTAATTCATCTTGGTATTCCTTGTCCCTGGCTTTTCTAGCCACCAGGTGAACTACGGCTCAGCTTTCTGTCCTCGTGCTGGGGTTAGCACTCTTGAAACTCTTTTAAAGGAACAGAGAAGACTGTTTTCAGTAGGGCTAGTCTAGAAATGTGGGTGGTGGTGAGTAGTGGTTTCTCTTGGATGTCTGTTACATTGCAGCCTTTTCAATGGAGGGGAACTTTCAGTTCCCAAAATTATAAGTTGAGATAGCAGCAGATGAACTAGCTAGTATGAACTGCCGTGCTCTCAATGAAGTCAAGAGAGCTTTACCAGCTTCCAGCAGCTGACATTTCAGTGTGCAGGCAAATGGGTACAGGAAGAAGTGACTGTTGATCTTTGAAAAATGGATGGGAGTTTGTGCTTCTGAATACTTTTTGTGGCTTGGTCTGTTCTAGTATCTGTAGTGTGCATTAATAACTAGCACGAGGTTGTTACTGCTTGAGAAGAGAGCTTTCAAAGTCTTGTTAAGATGGGTACTTCACTTGCTGTGAAGATGCATGGGAAGTGAAAGGAAAGTAGGGGGAGAGTCAGCTGGGGAAGGTGCAGGCTCTCCAGAACTGGTGTCTGATCCTGACCTACCTCTATGTTTCTCTTTGTAGCTGACTTTGGGTTTGCCCGGTATCTGCAGAATAATATGATGGCAGCAACATTGTGTGGTTCACCAATGTACATGGTAAGTGTGTTTTGTCTACGGGTTTTTCTGTATTGTTCTTGCTTTGCCCCCCCCAGAAGCAAGGCTTTGTTTTTCGCTAGTCTTTCCCCCTAAGGTGAAATTTTATTTACCTGTCAGAAACCAACTATTACACAGGGAGACTTCATAAAGTTCTAGCTGCTGGTAATGTTGGACAACAGGTGCCTGTGTTGTCATCTAACTTTCAGGTGAGCTGTCGATAAATAAAACGGGACAAAACAGGGTATTGATCGCTGTCTGGTCCCAGAAACTGCATCTTCCAGAGGGAACCAGGGCCTCTCCACTGAAGGCATTGTGAAATGAAATCTGTTTTCTCTGCTGCGAGCAAAGCAACAGCAAAAGAGCGGGCTGGGGTGATATTTCACACATCTGGCTATATTTGAGGTGTTGCTTCCTTGGAGAGGACCCTCAGTAAATCACTGCTTCAGCAGGCCCTTTTGAGCCAGAGTGGTTCCACGAGCCTGCTGTCACCTCGGGCTTTGCAGTTGTTTTTGCTAAGGCCACAGCATCAGGAGCAAGGTCCCTGTTTAACAGCAGTTTTGTAAAATCTCCCAACTGTTTTTAGCTCTTGGGTCTTGCAACATCCCTTCAGATTTATGGACCTATACGGGCAGAGATTTTGCCATTCTGGCTAACTTACTCCTAAGTATACTTTGCTGTGCAGCTTAGCAGATGAGTGTAAATGGAGCTCACCTGCTTCTGTTTACAATTTATGTTCCCTGTGTTCCTGCTCCCTAACCCTCCTCCCCCACTAATTCTTTCCCCAAATCAGCTGCTTCCAGGGTGACTTCTTAGCTTGTGAAACAGATGTGTTTAAAAAAACCCAAAGTGATCCCTTTCACTCCCTCCGTACGTTCCACTCTGGGACCAGGATGTGAGGAGGTGATCTCTTGTTTGTGCTCATGGCAGCAGTCAGGATCTCAGTGTCACATCAAGTCAGTGAAATTAAAAATGACAAAACCAGGCCAGAAATAAAAAAGTGAAAGCCAGCCATGTAATAGTTCCTGGGGATATGTGTGTCTGAGCTCAAAGTAAAAAGATGATGTGGATCAATTTAGGTTGAATTTTTTGCAAGTGTCCTGGGGGCAGTAAGGACCTGATTTTGAACATGATCTAATCCACTCTGAGTTTTTCTTGTCTATACTCTTCGGGCAGAGTTAGGCTGGACTGTGCTGCGCTGCACAGGGGTAGTGTGTCTGGTAGTCTGTTCCACAGTACTAACATCTTTCCCTCCCTTTTTTTTTTGAAGCCTGATGTTTATTTGAACTAGACTGTATGTGAAGATGATGTAATTTTTTTCTCCTGTGAGAGCTTCCTGAATTGTCTGTTTTTAGTGATACTTTTTCTTTTAGTCTCCTGTGAAAGTAAATGAAAACACCCAGCTTATTTTTTGAAAGGGCTGGGGGGAAGGTAGTGATGACCTTTTTCTAGTTTATTTTTTTATTTTAAACAACTCTGGACATTACAGGGAATCTCAAAATGTTTCATATTGTTCTCTTACTGATGGGTTTGAAAAAAGATGGGGAGGGGGGTTCAACTTGGGATTTAGGGGGTGTTTGAAGTCTGTCCCTACTACCATTGTGCATCTTGTGCAGCAGCCCTGGGAACATCTGCTGGCAAGGCAGGCCCTTATTCCCTGCTTTAGCTCGTAGCCCATTGCTGCTCTTTTCATTTTGCTCTTTTAGAAAAGAAAGGTATTTTACCCACACCAGAATGAGCTTTCTGTCTGAACCCTGGTATGATCCATGTCATCTGAGACTTCAGACCTTCTTGTGGAGTTCTTCTCCTGCTTCCTTGGCTTTTGTTCGCCTGCTTCCCTTAGGGACAGACTGAGCCCCTGTCCACAACTTGTTTGCTGCCATTTTTTTTCTGTTGCATGTGGCCTTTACTTCTAACAGAGCTAGAAAATTGATCCCGTTCCATGCTGGCAGCACTGCGATGAGATCTGTTGTTATAAACACGTGGGATTAGCAAGCCTGCCCTTCTGTCCCTCCTCTGCTGCCACTGCTCCTAAGGCATGCTGCCTCCTGAGCCACGGGGCTTTGTGGACCTGTACCATCTCCAGCTTCTGGAACAAGTCTGGGAGGGAGCAACCAAGGGCATGGTGTGAGATTAGAAACCAGAGTCCGAGGCACAGCAGGGCTCAAGCTGTTGGACTGAAATGCACAGATCTGCCTTTGAACCCAAACTGTGACCTTGGCAGCAAGCTCTGGAGCATAATTAATATGCTGCCATCTCGGGCTAAATAAGGAAAGTGCATAAGTGATGCAGATCAGGATGGAGGCTGAAGCTTACCTGTGCAGTGTGAGCCTTTGCTTTTCTTAATCATTTACCTGTTACTTGCTTTGGTTTAGAAGATCTGGCTGTGCGATTTCAGTGAGGCTTCTTCTGAGCACAGGTGGATTCAGCAGAAAATGGTATGCTGAGAAGGGAAAGTACTGAGTTTGCCTGAAGTAGCAAAACAGCCTCTGGTATTTTTTGTCTGAGCAAAAGTCTGTGCTTCCCCCACTTAGATAGGGAGTTGGCCCTTTCAAGGTAGCACAACAGTTGTCTTGGGAGCAAGTCTTTCATGGTTATTGGGGAATCTAGCTCAGGGGGTTTTAAAGCATAATAGTGACTGCTGTTTCTTTCTTGCAGCTGCCAAAAAAAAAAAAAGCTACGTCTTCTATAACACAGATTTCTGTTCTCTCCCCAAAAAGGCACCAGAAGTCATTATGTCTCAACACTACGATGCCAAAGCTGACCTCTGGAGTATAGGAACCATCATTTATCAGTGTTTGACAGGAAAGGCTCCTTTTCAGGTGAGTTGCTTAGATCTAATGTTTCTGACTCTCTTGCTTTTTTCTTTTTTTCCTTTTAATCCACTTACTCTAAGCCTTCTCTCATTTAGAATATTAACTCCCGTAGATCCAGCCTCATGGAGGTCTGGCTGTCCAACACCTCGACAGTGTGGTGCTTTATATGTTGTAATGCTGGATGTGTTACTAGAATATGACTCTCCCCCTCTGGGCTCTATCTCGGTGAAATGTATTTCCTGGTTATAAAACCTTAGAAAGGGTCATCTCTTCAGACAATTATCATGAATCAGTTAAAGCAGTGGGTTTTTTCCAGGCCCACACTTAAATCAGTTTCTATTTACAGCTGTATTCCGTGTGTAATTTATAATTATAACTCTGTTGGGTATGAAAGGACAATAAGGAAGATTGTAATTGCAAGTTAATGTTCGGGATGATTTTGGTGGTAACTGGTGTATTGCAGCTAAATTGACTTTGGTTTTAGACCAGTTAGATCCTTTGATAAGATCGTACTTATCTGTCATGCCACAGCAATCCCTTCCAGCCTGAAATGTTTATGTTCAAGTCCAGACTCTTCCAAATATAACACAGTCCAGTAAAACTCCACCCTGTAATTTATAGTTCTGGATGAGCTCGAGCATATCTTTTGTGAAAGGCATTCTCTGATTTTAAATTTCCAAATGATGGAGAATTCATCCCAGCCTTATGCAAGTTGCTTCAGGATTACTTAATGTATTTTTAGTCTTATATATAGCTGGAGTTCATCTAGGCTCAGTGCATTTCTCGTTACTTTTCTTCTTCCTTGCTGAATGAGATCTGCAGACTCTCCTTTGCAACCACTATTTTAAAGTACTGTACTTGTCAGGTTTTTGTCCTTGCTGTCTTATAGCTTAGCAGAGAGATGCTTGAGTTGCTGGTAGTTCTTTGCTTCTCTAATGTGTGAGCTCTGTAGAGCTTGTCTCTAATCCATGGAAAAAGACCAAACCTCAAATTTGCATGCTGATGTATCAGCTGATGCCAGCTCTTCAAGTTCTTAGGTCAGTTAGGGCAAACATGAACTGTTGGCCCTCTTTTCTCATGTCCTGACATCTCTTTATCCTGACTCCCTAATAACAAAAAAAAAGGCAAAATCAAACAACCAAAAAAAAAAACCCCAAAAAAACAAATAAAAAAAAGTTGAGGGGGAAATCTGTGCTCATGTAATAAGGCAAATTTTATGAACTGCAGGACTTTCTGAGCTTTAGTTCCACAGCTCTTTAGAATTTCACACAAGACCTTGAATGTTTATGCAGTTACATCACCAGGAAGGATAAAGTGAATTCCGAATCTGTTGCAGGAAAGAGTAGGCAAATACAGAAGTAAACTAATGGTTTGTTTTGGTTTTGTCTAGAGCCAAGAACACTTTTCTCCTTCAGGGTAATTTTTTCCCTGCTCCTGTAAGAATCCTCCATTCCAGTGCTTTTTATTCTGTCCACCAGCTTGCTCTGTATTTAGAGCAAGACTTCATTTCCTTTGCATATTTCTTTTTTTATAAACACCCCTACAAAGCACACTGAAACTCCTGAATGGCTCCTGTTTGCTGGCTGCATCCACTTGTTGTCGGTGTTGGTATCTTTGTTTGAGAGGAGAAAATGACTGTTAGGATAAAAGAAAATAAATATTTGTGCATTAAGAAAAAACTGGGGGTGGAAAAAGCAAGCTTTGACTCTGCATGCATAGGAGAGCCTTGCACTTGTTCTGTCTTGTAACTTGGTGCCCTTTAGTCTCTAAAGGCACCTTGATACTGTATTCATTGAAATAATTTAGTTATTCAACATGGTGACTTTATCATAGGTGTTCTTCGCTTAGTAGCTCGCACGCAACCTTGGGGCATCTGATTTCTTTGAAAAGAATTAGGTGGCTTTATCATTGGTCATTGAAGCATGTCACAGAAATGTTCTTCTGAAAACATTTGTTCTTAGAGAGAAGATTTTTTGCAGGAAATAAAATTGAATACTAGTCAGCTTTATTTGGCTCTCCAGCCAAAGTTTTGAAAGGGCAGGCGGTCAGAAAACCATCGGCTCAGCCTGTACGTGTGTCCTCAGGCTCGCACAGAGGCGAGAGCAGTCCTGTGTGCCTCTGTGCCTCCGGCTGAGACATGGCGATACCTTGCCTTGCTGTGGGCAATGAGGGGACATCTCTGTACCTGCCAGCAGGTCCTGATCCTTGCTTTGTGCTTGCCTGGCTGGACAACTTCTTTCTTTCCCATGTACATCCAACATTTGTTGGGCTGGGGCTGGAGGTCATTTGTTTCTCTATTTTAATTTTTCCCCCTGCCCTTTCCTCTTTTGGGGTTTGTATTTTAAAGCAAAATGCCAGGCCCCATTTGCTGCTGCAGTAGCAGCTGTGGATTTGTTTGATCAGGGAGAGAGAAAAGCTCAGCCCAGATGGTTCTCTGTGCACCATCTATTTGTTTTGACCATGTGTGTCACAAATTGCCTTCTCCTAGCTGCGAGTTTCAGGTGAAAGAAGCCTGTCTAGGGCAGATGTTGGAAAGGTAGTTAAAGGTTAACTGCCTTTATTTCTTTGTTGGCATGACTGTGTTGTAAGAATTTGCTGATGGTCACTGAGCAGGCAAGAAGCTATTGTTTACAGGAGGAGAGAGGGGTAGTGGATGGAGGGGATGGGGAGATCATGAATAGGGATGAGTGCTTTTGGGAGGGACATCTACAAATGGGTGGGGAGATAACAGGCTGATTCCACAGAGTGCCACCAGCAGACCCAGTCGTACAGGGCAGCCAGGAACTGCATTTCTGATGTTAACCTCTTCAGGCTAAATCCTCACCGTGCTTTCCCTTCCAGACCGGCAAGGACAGCTCCTCACCTCTGAGGAGGAGCTGAGATTCCCATGGGAATCTGGAGCACGGTGGCGTGAAACATGCTGCATTTGGGCGCTCTAGCTGTTCACCGCATGAGCCAGTTTGGCACCTTCACGGGGATGCAAGCCAAAAGGACTCCAGTGTTATCTGTAGTGAGGAGGAATGAGCTGCCTAAAAATAAAATAGGGCTTTGGGGGGCTGGGTTAGATGGAGAAAAGATCAAATGTGTGGAAAGGCTGAGGCAGCTGTCAATCCAGAAAGTGTGTAAATCAAGACAGAGATGTGTGTATGTGCGTGAATGTGATTTTTGGCTGTCTCTAAGTTAAAATTAACTGTAGCTGGGTCACCCAAGGCAACTTCCCAGAGCCATTCCTGTCCCTTTCCTTGCCTCCCTGCACACAGGCAAGAAAGAAGCTGCTGATGCTCAGATGCGAACAGTTGGTACTATGGCTGGTGAAGCTGTCTTAAGGAGCTTTTTGTATTAAACGTGCCCATAAACAAAACGGTGAGATTGCCATAGGGATGAGATTAATGGGATTATGAATCCCTATAAACAGATTTTCTGAGCACTGTATTAATGTGGAATTGTTAATTTGCCTTGCCTAATAAGTAGTCTGCACTTGCATCTCTTCATTTCTGTCGCTGAGGACAGGACTTGAACAGTGCGGTTCCAGGTCTTGCTGACCAGTACTGAGAAGTGTCCCGAGAGTATACTGGTTTTTTTCTTGTCCTTACCCGAGCTGAAAAGATTGGGACCTAGTCCCCACGATGAGGTGATGTAGCCTGTGTAGACAAGTGACAACCAGAAGCGAAACTGGAGGCAGAGAAGGAAAAGATTTACACAAGGTCTAAAATACCTTCCAAAAACAATCTAATCCTTGTCAGATGATGTGTTAAATAACCTTAGTCTCTTTTTTGGGGGTGGGGGGAGAGGAATCTCGCTGATGTTCCTGGTGGTTTCTCTTGTGTGACCCCTTTAAAAACTGGGCAGCTCTTGGCAAGGAGACATGCAGCCAAGCACGTTCCCTTTGTCAGAGCTGTCTCTGGCAGCGGGACGGGTCTGCTTGGACATCAGATCCCGCTAAGGACCGCGAAACCTGGTTGTCTGCTGTCTGAGCCTTTGTGTGAAACTTCTCCTAGCTGCGTTACGGACGTGGTGCGCTGTGTCTGTGGGAGAGCGAGCCAGGGAGCAGGGAGGTGGCAAGAGAGGTAATGCAAGTTTTGCTGCCTGGTCTGGCAGCTCTGAAGGAGTTAACCTGCCTGCGTATGTTCTCATCCCAGCTAGCTGCTAGGTGAAAAATTTAATTTCTAAGCCTGGTATACCCAGTCCACTGCTTTATTTCTAGGTTAATTCTGCCTGCATAAGTACTAGGATTATGTATCACTTACAACAACTGCTATGTTGTGAAATAGGCCTGGAGGAAGACTAGGGAAGGGAGGATTTTATACCCAGAATTTGAACTGCTGATTTATTTGTTAGGCAGGCTGCTCTTCTGTTCCCAAAGCTCTCCCTCTGGACTGTCCTGTGTCAGTGGGGACAGGTATTCCTGGCGGTGGTAGGTTACTCTGCTGGAATTGGGCACGGTGTTTGTGGGTCTGATCCTGCTCTGTTGGGAGCAGAGAAAAAAACATCCATGGGCAGCTAAAGAGAAAGGTTTAGGGGGGTTTTTTGTTTGTTTGTTTGTTTTCTGGTCCTGGTGCTTTCAGGATCCCCTGAATGCCAACCACTTAGTTGTGGGAGTCTTAAAAGCTGTTAAGACTGCACAAGCAGAAGGTATTTGCAGCAGGTTTTCAAGCTTTTCCCTAGAACTATTGAGCTAGAAACATCATTACTTATTTCTTTTTTTTCTTTCTAATGTATCTGAATCCCTTCTCTGCACCTCTAAATCCCCAGGAATCCCAAAGGAAAGGATTCAAACAGAAGAGCAGATACCATACACCTGCTATGAGGTGTTGACGAGGCAGCACTGTTCACCGAGGGTGTGAATGTCCCTGGCCCTCTTCTGACTGATCGCTGGGCTTTTGCATCCAGCCTTTCCCCAAGCGCAACAAATCCAGCGCTGAGTGCTTTTGGAAACGCCACCCTGCGTGCTTTTCGCGTGCAATTCACTTGCAGGCAGCCAGCACCGAGTGGGATTTGGCAGAGTTATGCTGAATGCCTTTGTTGGCTCAACATATTTCCACTGCTGCTCGGGACAAAGTAACAGAGTGGCAGGATTGAATTTGTCCAATTGTCTTTATATATAGAAAGGACAGACAAACCCAGAGCCAGTTACACTAAAGCAGCTGCTCCATAGTAACGTGAGAGGGGGAACAAGGGCGTGAATTGGCCTGCTGGTGGGTCTCCCGTTCTTGGGGAAAACTGAGCTGTCCGTTCCACGTCCCTGTTTCTGACAGATGGATGCTGTCCTACAGGTAGTAGCTGGCTCTGTGTACCTTGAATAGCCTAGTTGTTAGGTGCCTAAAATGTGCTTTTCTGGTGTTTTTCTTGGGTAGGGTGTATCTGCCTGGAAGGCAGATTTCAAATGAAGTCCTTAGCTTCCTAGAACAAGGAATTCAAATGGCATTTTTAGCATCTTACAAACATTTCTGCATCTTTTTCCATGATTCCCAGAGAAGCACTGTTTATTGAAAGAAGAGAGGTGAGCAAAGTGGCTGAAGGTACCAGTGCTTTATGAAATGGACGCTAACAGCAGGAGAGCAGCGGGCATGTTACTGCGAGCCCGGGAGCCTGCTGCTAGGAGCAGAACAGTATGACTCAGTTAATTAATAATGAAGTTATGTGAAGATGCAGTTGGTATTACCAAATTAATGGTGATCCACAGTTGTCTGTGCTGGGCACTCACTAAAATGACTCTGTTCCCCAGCAGGCAGCTACCTATATCAGAGACCAGCCTTGAATTGAGGGCAGCCCTGGTGAGGAAGGGTGGTCTGGGTGGGTAGGAGCCTGACACCCTGTCAGAACGAGTGGGAATTGTACAGAGACAGCAGAACACGGAGAAACAACATCCCTACAGGGATCTCTCTTTAATTTGTACAAAGAGAAGGGGAACTTTACTGAGGATTTTGTTTCTATCCAAGCTAGTGCTTAGAAACCCTCTCTAATGAACTGGGCTTTGCATGTGTGCTGCTTTTAATATACTGTCTTTATTGCCGGGAAAACTTCTGACAAAACAGTGTTTGAAATAGATCAGAGCTTCATTGTATTTGTGAAACAATTGAGTTGTTGCGGCAGGAAATGAACAGAGCAAACAGCCAAGGCGTGCATCTCTGCTGGGAGCAAGCACTTCGCTTCCCTGCCGCGGGGTTCAGGTCCTCCTTGTAGGCTATGTCTGTCAGGCATATTTTTCGTCACACAGAGTGTTGTGGCCAAGCCATTTGGTGCAGTGCGTACGCTTGCCTCGTTAAAGTTTTCCAAATATTAAGAATCTAATTACAGGGCAAGATCTGCAGGAGGAAGGGTGTAAAATGGAGTTTTACTGAACCAAATCAAATTGAGTGGCAGTGATTGGAAATTTTGATGCAGTTTGGCACCTATGTAACAAGGTGCTTTGCTGCATAACATTCATTTTAATGGTTTGTGAAGAAAGTATTTTTGCACCTCCTGTTTGGGTCCCTTCTGTGTCTGCGAACAGCAAAAGATATGTTATTGCAGAAAGGAGAACTGGGATTTATTTCCATCTTTTAGGAATCCAGTAGCTCTTATTGATACAAATTCACAGGAGAGCTGTGAAGCTTGGGTTGCTAAGACTGTGCAAGAAATACTGTCCTCATCAGTACTACACGAGTCTATTGATAATTAGCAGCTTTTGAGACTCTCCCTTTGGTTTCTCTTCAGGGTTTGTACTGAGCTCTGTTATCCTTAATTTTCGTCTTCAGCCAGAGGGAGTAGGCAATGCTGAAACAGCATCTTATGTGGCTGCTTTTCCAGCCATGCTGTGTTAGTGGTATTTTGATGGCCATCTGCAGATTGGCTTGTCTGATTTGCCATTTTAAGCATTTTAATTGACCTTAAATGCTTCGAATTTAGAAATGGAAGTAGGTGGAAGGCTCGAGGGTTTTTTGAGCCTTCCCTGAACGTCAGGAGAATCTGCCTGTTGCCTCCTTGTTCACACTTTCCTACACACTCTGCTGCACCAATAATTGATTGCAGATTAATCTCTCTGATCTTCCTTCCCTGTTTATATGTGCCTTCATGTCTGTGTCACGCCAGCCAGCCTGCTCTGCCTTTGATAGAGACTTTGCCTAGGCAGAAAAGCTTGAGACACTAGGGTTAATTTACTGGCCTGTATTATTCATTGCATAAAAACAAATGGAGAAATGACATTAGGAGATTTTTGTGTGTCTGAGCTTCTATACTGGCGATTTTATTTTTAACCTCGGCCATAAATCTCTTGTGCCTAGCCTTTTTTTTTTTTTTATCCCATCTCTGAGAATTTGGGATCTTGTAGTCAACATCCCCAGCAGTTGTGTATATTACTGCACAAATAGGAGCTGTGGCTTGAGACCTTCTGGCTTCCTGGAATTAAAGTAGAAAATCCTAATTCAGTTGCTGTTTCCCCATGTTCCTGGTCTCTTCACAGATCCCTTGCCCATCCACAGGCTCCCTGCCCCTTTTCTAAATGCCCTGCGGCACTAATCCATGTTCTCAGCGGGAGCTGCCATTCATCATTTGGGACTCCTCACGTCTGCAATTATTTAGCCTCCTGGGTGAGGCTATTAGGCCAGCTCAGACCTGAGCATCAGAGCCCGCTGCAATGAAGCTCAGCCCTTGGAAGGGGAGAGCAGGAGAGAACCAGGTCAGGGACAAAAAGACAGCAGGCTGAAATACTGTATTTTCACTCTGGCACAGTGCTGGCTTTTCAATCTAAAGCAAGCTGCAGGTTCTCATTGTCTGTGCTGGTTCAGCAATTGAAAAGTGCATCTTTGCTCTTCAGAATAACTGTGAAATAGAAATGTTAATCCCCTTCCTTCATTGTCAACTGTTTCACGTGCTGGTTTTCTTTCTCTTCTACAGGCCAGCAGCCCACAGGATCTTCGTCTCTTCTATGAGAAAAACAAGATGCTGATGCCAAAGTAAGCATTTTTCCAGTGTCACTGTTTGTATGCACTTGTTTACTCCATATTGACACCTGTCCTTGCCTGCTCCTGGCTTGTCACTCAGGGAGGTGACTGTAAAGTATTTGGCCACCTGCCTTCCCCCATTCCTTAAACCAGCAGTGATGTGGCCCAGAGAAAGTCAGACAGCAGCGGATTGCCAGAGCTGGTGTTCTCTCTTTCTGCAGATACCACTTCTCTCCTACATTGCAAAAATTCAGGATCATTAGTGATTTCAAGAGCCAGCTAGTGGTCCTGTCCCACATATGGCTTCCCTGAGGCTGGAGCCTTGGGAAGAAATCACGGCAATGCTTGAATCATGCGAGCAGCCAAACTGCAGTCTGTCCTGTAACCTGCCATACCTGACTGCAGATCACATTCCCATTTCTCACGTGTCAGGACAGCAACTGCTCGTGTCCATCCTGCTAATAGGAGGAAATATAACCTTGATGGAAACGGACACTGCTGCAGTTTCCAAGGGGAAGATAACTGCTTTCGTCCCACCGGGGTGTATGTTACCTAGTGAAGCACCTAGCTGCCACTCAGCTCTGTGATTTGTCAGCGTATTTTGGTTTTGTTGCTGTGGTCTTTCCTTTTGATCTCTGAGCTCTTAAAGCAGAACCTCATGCCTTCTCTTAAAACCTCAGCTTGGTATAGAGACAGGACTGAAGTTCCAAGTTTATACATCAAAAAATTGGAAGGTGTGTTTTAACCAGAAAGTTAGTTTCCATTTGGCAGAGCTGCTAATGCAGCCCCATACGCAGGAAGCTCATTGAGTTGCTGTATATGGATTTCTTTTTTTTTTTTTTTTTCCCCTTATCAGTTTAGACAGCTCCAAGAGATAGTGGAAGGAGAGCTGTCAAGAAGCTAGAGCTCTTACCAATGACTTGCGCTATGCATTTAATTTCCCTTCAAGTGCTTCCTTTTTTGATTTGGGGAGAAGGGGCAAATTTTTACCAGGATAAAATTTGGGGCATCTGGATGCTCTTCTGGATTGAACCAGAGGGCACGATGGAGTAAAACACCCAAACAAAACATTTCAAAGGAAAACCACTGCCACATAGTTGGAGCCAAATAGTCTGTGTGAGCAGAATGTAGAGCTGCTGTTTCCACTACACAGCCTAGAACATGTCTGCTCACCTTTGAGGTAGTCCCTCTTACTAAGAGAGAAATTAATCCCGACTATTAATAAGCTTCCTTGTGTTGATCACGCTGCCCTGCTGCCGCTTCAGCTCGTGCTGCATGCAGTAGGAGGCAGGCGAGGGGATAAATAAAACTCAGCTCTAAGAGCATGTCTGTTCTTGCAGGGATTAGTCCTTCTCCTGTGTTGTGAGTCCTTGGTACGCGCTCTGCGTCTACCCTTTTCACTCATCTCTGCTTCTTAACTACCAAATTCCTCCAAAATTTAGATCCGAGCCCATTGTTTTCTTTCACTGTAGAAGTCTGGTCCGAAGCAGCCTTTGCGTAAATGCTGGTTCCCTGCTTTCCAAAGTCCGTTTGTCTCTTTAACATGAGCCGCAATCTGTGCTATTTCCTGAGTAAACATGAATAAACGGCCTCCGCCAGCCCTGCCAACAGAGGATGAAACACAAAACCACCCCAGAGACCTGCTTCTCAGACTGCAGCAGTGCCAGGATTTGGTTTCATTCTCCTTGGGGCTAGGCAGGCTGGCACCCACCTCCCTGCCATCACCATGGCAAGCGGTGTGTTTTGGCTCGGGAGCGGGGTGGGGCAGAAAAAGCTCATTAAATTCATTAAATGCTCGCCAGCGGTCTCTGCCTGCCGGGCTGGTGCTGTTGCTGACAGGTGAAATGCCATTCTGAGGTGGGGAGCCCATGTCCGGAGGAACAAGCCCAAAGGTCTCACAATTTTAATAGCGCTGATGTAAATAGCTAACATTCATTTTGCTGATTTGCATGGTAAAGTGTATTCTAGATCATGGGGGGAAGAAGGCAGTTTTGTTCCTTATGTTTAAAAAGATGGCCTTGGAAAATAATGCTGTGGGGTAGCGTAGCAAAGCTTGACGTTTTAGACGTGAGAGGTAAGAGGAGGCAAACAGGCTGTTCATCTGCACCATCTTCAGTCTGTGTTGTGACATCTGAGGTCTACTACTTGACCTTCCTGTTTCTTGGCTTTAAAACCATACAAGAGCTAAAGTCATTGCTGGGAAATGGACTCATTTTGGATGAGAGCTTTATGTGTCATGGATAAATAAATTATGACGATAACGCTGGAGGACTGCAGGTCTCCAGCACTAATGTATTTTTCAGGAGACTCTGCTAGCTGTGGTGTCTTGGGTTACTCCGTTACACAGTGTGCTTTTAAGGCACACCTTTTCTGACAAGAGGGTGTTTTTTTTTTCTTGGCTCAAACTGACTCTCAGTTTAACTGCATCCCTTCTGGAGTCCTGGTGGCCTGGAGGCGCACGAAACCATTCTAGTGTCAGGGATGGAAAAGCAACTCCTCCAGTACAAACAAGGATGAGGGATGCTTGCCATCATTCCCTGTTCTAGGAATCGCTGGGCTCAGATTCCTGTGCCAGCAAGGCCTAGGGCTTCGCTGAAAAATAACTGGGTAGTACTGAAACCTATAAATAGAGACCTTGCCTCACATCTCTAGTTTCACTGAATAACAGTCTGTTAGTGCTAGTTAGCACCTCTTTTCCCCCCAGTATTTTTGTCCCAGCTTCTTTTTCTATCCTGTGTCAGGGGTAGAAGTGGTAGAAATGGTGCAGGAGGATTGTTTCTCCCAGCATCAGTCGGGCTTGGCTTCAGGGCAGTGAGCGATGCCAGCCCAGCGAAGCGGAGCCCTGCCCGAGCGAGCCGCGTGCTGTGCTACCGGGCAGGCTTGGGCTCCGCGCGGTTAAAATTACCGTGCTGAGCACACATGCCATCACCTCAGCTGACCCACGCATGGGGAGCGGGGAACGCCTGGCAGACCGTGGGGGCCGTGCTGGTCACAGCCACGATAAACAGAGTCAATACTGAAAGGACCTGGAGCCACCTACACTTAATTTGGAGAGCTCTGCTCTGGCTGCGGGCAGGCCCGGGCTGCTACGGCCCCTAACAGTGCTTCTGGTTACAGAGGAAAGTCAGCAGAGCTGAATCCACTTACGCAAGGCCTGAACTCTGCTTTCCCTGCCTTAATCCGTTCATTTATTCCCTGCTTCTCACAATCTACTGGGGTTGTGAAGAGCTGCCCTGGCCTCTCCCCCATCTGCTTGTGGAGTGAGGGAGAGCTCAATGATTTACTAGCTCTTTTGTGCTGCAATGGCCATTGAAAAGAGTATTTTCTTCCTAGTTATACTGGAAAGTGGGGTAATAGCTGCATGAATTTTAGCTTGCTTGGGTGGCAGTTGCTCGCATCTTAGTGACCTTCGATTAATAAATGCTGTGTATCAAAGAAGCAAATAGACAAAGGTCACTTGCTAGTCTTACATAAGCTGCATTGAAAAGAAAAGCCTTAATAAAATGGTAGTAATTGGTAATACGTTTCACCACCCATGTCTTAATTGGAAGCTTCCCCTTGGTAACTGCTTCACTTTCATGACCTCCTTATTCCCAGTAGAGCAAGTAGAAGAGATTTTTATTTATCATGTGCAAAATATTGCATGTTGAATGGACTTAAGTGAGAACCAGAAGGTTGACATTGGCCCTGCTGTGGAAGGGAAGGATCTGCAGGTGCTCTTGGGAGAGGCCACTAAAGCCAGATTAGCTGTAGCCTTAACAATGACAATGGGGAGTAAAAGCCAAACAGAGATGCAAATAGAGATGTTCCTGTTCAGCCTCTCTCCAGTGAGCTCATCTTATGTTCCTAGCCCAGCAGGCACAAAGGGAGTTTGCATTTGCAGGTTGCCTTGCTGAATATGTAAAAGCAGTTTAAGTAGACTGCAAGTCTGTCTTATTTTGCTTTTGTTTTCAATCCTAGCATCCCCAGGGAGACATCAAGCCACCTGAGGCAGCTGCTGCTGGGCCTTTTGCAGCGTAATCATAAGGACCGCATGGACTTTGGTAAGACCTCCTTCCAGTTTTAGTTCTGCTGCCTGTCTATGTCATCTTTTGTGCCATGGCATTGCACAAACCTCCATACTTTTGGCTGGTGCTAGGAGAAGCATCCAGACACCTGGGTTTCACCTGTGCCTGGAAGAGTGCATAATCTTGGGTTTTTCAGTATATGTGCTGGAAAGGTCCATGCCAATTCCAGTGCAGTTTTGTAAACCCAGAGATTTGGCATACCTTCAGCAAATGTTTCTTACTTGCATTCCCTCTTCTCGCTTCTGCTTTTATAATCTCTCTGAACTTCTGTTGTGTTAAGTATGCTACCAGGTGAGATGTGTATCTTGTGTATCTGTGTTCTTTCTCTGTGATTAGTTCCCTCCCAAAGCTTCAAGCTGCATCCATTTAATGAACAATTCAGTCAATACCCTCCCTTTCTTAGCGTCTGCGGTGATCTGAGTCAGGAGACCATAGCTGCTTGCAGACCCTTCACACCTTCTCGAGGTTTCTGTGGAAGGATGCCTTGGTTCTCATCAGGGCTCAAGCTGGCAGTCTCTTGGCTCTCCCTGTAGACCTGTGTCTCAGTCTCCTGACTTGGTTGGCATGAAGATTTCCTTTTTTCTTTTTTTTTTTTGATGTCTTAATTCCTTCTAAACTGAGAACAATCATTATGTGCCAGGTGGTTCTGGGTTTGGCAGCCTCTTCCAGGTGTGTCTAGCTGAGCCAAAAGGTCTGAAGAACCTCTAGTGAAGCCATGCCCTAGAGGAAAGCAGGCAGAGGTGGAACCTTTCCTAGAGCCCCTGAAAGGACCAGGTCACCTGAAGGCAACTCTGTGGTCTTTTATTCTTCCCCCCACCTCTCCCTTCTCCTTGGGCAAAGATAGTCTAGACCTGTCTCAGGTAAAAATCAGGATGTGAATACTCGCTCTTACCAAGGAAGTTGGTCCTGGTGGTGTGTCTCCTCTGAGAGCAGAGGAGAATGGCAAGGAGCAGCTTTGCTTCCACGGGCCCGTGCTGCTGGTGGAAAGGGTAAGTTCGCCCCTCAGCCTCTGTGTTTGAATAAGGTTTGGTGCTGGGCAAGCCTGTTCAAGTGGTTTTCTGAAACAAGGCTGCAGGGCCAAAGCCCATGGATTTGTGTTAAGTATCAGATGGGCAATATCACAGCAAGTCATAGAGCTTTCTGCCTTTCGCACAGACATTACCTTTTTTACCCGAAAGTGTGCTGCTGTGTGTTTTCAGGATATTGCTTTTTATTCAGTCTTGGGGTAAAAGGGTTTGATATTACTGTCCTTTGGGGGTTGGTTTTCTGTTGGTTTTTTTTGTTGCTTCCCTGCTCGGGTGGATTGTTTCCTGCTGGGCAGCATATGCGAGTTGATGAAGAGAAATTGTTTTACAGCCTGTTATTCTTTTGGATTAAAGATACTGGGAAAGCCTTTCTGGCGATAGTGTCACCTGGGTGAAGCAAGTGTGTGGATTAACTGAGGCTGATCATAATTATCCAGTGCTGAGTGTAAAGGACTACTGGTTACTAGGCTGCAGAAGTGAGAAAACAAGCCTTTTGAAAAGGGAGTTGTTGAAGCTACTTGACAGACTGACTTGGATATAAGCACCCCTCAGTATTATTCCCTGCAGATCTTCTATCTGGGCTGTGGATCTCTGCCTCTGCTATCCTGCTGCTGTGCCTTTCAAAAGAAAATATCTTTGAGGTTCCTGTTTCCCTGCTGTCAGAAATTGAGCCTGGTAAACCTTTTTAGCCCCCTATAAGCTGGTTTTGTACCTCTTGGGAGTAGACTGCATGCGTCAGTGTCTAACACTTGGAAATTTGAGATAATATACTTTGATTTCACTCAGGACAACAGTTACAGCACATCTTGCTGCATTGAGATTGTTGCCTGCCCTTAATCACATGCCGAATCCTTTTCTCTACAAATTGGCACGTCCTCGTAAGATGTAATTGTTTCTCAGGGAGGGTTTGTGAATATATTCTGTACAGAAGCCTACATTTGAGATATTCCTGGTGCTTTATAGAAGGCAGATCTCAATGGCTGTGTGGCATCCCATGCCATATTCTAATATCTCCTGTCAGTTGAGAGGAAAGCAAGTGCCAGAGCCATGATTTATTTAGACTAATACACTCCCTCAGCATCCAGTTGTATTTTTGGTCTCATCCACCTCTGCCTCCTCTCCTGTGACTCTCTGCCAAAGCATCTGAGCTTCCTCCCTGCTTTGAGACACAACTGTTTTCTTTTCCCTGATGTCTGCTGGTGCTTGATCTTCAGCTTCTCTATGTTCCTGAGGGCTTGGAGACTCTGACCTACACCTACGGAACGGACCCTTCTCCTGAGCTGACACTCCAAGGGAAGGAAGAGCTCCAGATGATGCCCCTTGCCAAAATAGTAGCAATACTGAAATGAGAGCACTTGTGCCCAACTCTTGTCATGTTTTCAGCTGCTGTCTGTGGCCAGCTCTGCACAAATTGTTCATGTCCCGCAGCTCCAGATCCTGTCTGAGGCAGATCTTCCCCTTACCTTAGATGGCTCCCAGTAGGTAGGTGCTTTGTCCTCCTACTGGCAAACTAACCGTAGGCTGCTCTCTTCACCCACACTATTTATAAAAGGCCTGCTTTGGCTGATGGTCAGTGCCTTTGTTCACTGCTCCTTTACCCTCCTGTGCTCTGTAAGGTGAAGACTCGTGTGCTGCTAGGTCAGGGATGATTCCTGAGCCACGCTCCCCAGAGGAGCGGGGTGTCCTGCTGCTCCTTGGTCCCTGAGGCCCTCTGTAGTCCCCCGGAGGTCTGCACAGTGCCCTCCATGGAGCTCCCCCAGAGTTTAGTCGATTCACACAACCGCAACACGTAAGCGTAAAACTTCATGTACTTGTTGTGTGTCTCAGCTGCTCTTCTACCAGGAACTGATGGTCTTTGCAATCTCAAGATTATCTAGAGGAAAGCCAGGAGGGTTTCAAGTTGCAAGTTTCCTGCT